GGCCTTGAGTGCTCCCCAGCCATGGGGGGGGGATGCTCCAGGTTGGCCCCGTCCCCTGGGGTCTGCCTTGTACCCCCAGCCCCAGCCCTCAGGACATGTCCAGCTCCCCAGTGGTGTCCTGCATGGTTCCCCGGAGCCAAGCCAGGGCCACCACCAGCTATGCAAGGCTCCATCTCCCTTCCGCTGCCAGTGCCGAGCAGGGGCGTTGGGGCACAACCCGGTGTGGTTTTACCTGCGTTGCTCCGGGTCGGGGCAGCAGCAGGGGCCCCCCCGGGCAGGAGAGCAGGGGTCTGTTCCCCCTCACCTTCCTCTGCCTGGGTTGTTTCCCTGCTCGCGGGGCTGCAGCACTGCAGCCGCGGCTGCACCTCTAGAAGCACAGCAGAGCCTTCTGCCTGCCCGTGCATGCTCCCAAGGGCAATATATATATAGGAGAGAGAGAGAGATATATATTTATGCAATAATGTCTTAATATGCAACACCCTCGGGAAGAGCAACCCGTGGGGACATAGGCAATAAGCAACCCCCCCTACCAGCACACAGGGCTGGATCCTGCTGCCGTGGGGGCCCGCCTGGGTGCCCCAGGGGCTCGGGGCTGGGTGACAAACGACCGCCTGAGGGTGGCCCTGGGGCCATGGGGCTGGGCAGGGCTGGCGGAGGAGGGAGGGATGCAGGGACAGGCGATGGGGACAGTGGTCCCCAAGGAGCATCCCTCCCTCTCGTGTCCCAGCCCCTGCTCTTGCTTAGAGGACTCCTTCCCTGCTGGGTCCTGTGGTGCTCAGTTTGTCCCTCCCCATGTCCCCGGCCCCTCCGTGGCTCGGGGACCACGGGCTGGGCCTGGGGGGTGACTACCCGATGGGGACAGAGAGGGACCATGCCTCCTTGCATGCTGCTCGCGGCAGAGCCATGGCAGCTCCTGCGCTGCCCCACTCCCCTTTGCTGCCCTGACCCCAGTCCTGGGGCCAGTTTCCAGTCCCGCAGTGCTGGGCTGAGCCAGGCTGGAAGTGATCGTGGTAGTGCCAAAGTTTGCCAAGCTGGGGGTCCCAGGGGTCTTGGTGCTCTGTGGGGATCAGCAGTGATACCTGCGTAGCCGTGGACCGTGGGTTGCACCCTCCCCCTTCCCAAGCCCCCCTGTGCCTCTGCTCCCGGCAGCGCGGACCCCTCACCCTGCTTCTTTTTCTTGCCTTGTTAGT